GTAGACCGACTCACCAAGTCGGCTCACTTCATACCATTTCGAGTTGGACAGACGACAGAGAGTTTTGTAGAGCTGTACATGAAGGAGATAGTACACTTGCATAGGGTGCCGGTTAGCATTGTGTCCGATAGACATGATTTTTATCACACTTTTGGAGAAGCTTGCAACAATATCTTAAGACTAGACAGAATTACAGCATGGCTTACCGCCCTCAGAAGAATGAATCAGAGAGGATTATACAAATTTTGGAGGACATGTTGCGGGCAATGCATGGTAAATTTCAATGGCTCTTAGGAAGACCATTTATACTTTGTGGAGTTCTCCTGTAATAATAGTTATCAATCCAGCATCCAGATGGCACCTTACGAGGATATGAGAGAAAATATAGATCTTCTACCTATTAGGATGACTTGGTTTAGCGGTGTCTGCTTGAGCCTGAGATGATAGTGCTAACAGTACGGAAGATAAACACGATACAAGATTGCCTGAAGTCGGCTTAGGATAGGCAGAAAAGTTGGGCCGATAGTAAGAAGAGACCTCTATAGTTTTAGATTGGGGAGCATGTCTTCTTGAGGATATTCACAACCAGAGTAGTTATCAGATTTGATAGTCGCAGAAAACTTAGTCCATATTTCATCAGTTCATTCGAGATATTAGAGAGTAGGAGAGGTGGCGTACAGGTTAGCTTTGCCTCCGTCATTGGAGGGAGTGCATGATGTGTTCCATGTATCGCAGATTCGACGGCATGTGCAAGATGAGACCCACATCTTAGACATCGCAGAGCTTCAGACCGGGGCGAACCTATCATATGATGAGCAACCAGTAGAGATTTTGGACAGACAAGAGAAGGTTCTCAAGAATAGGATTATCCCTCTAATCTTGGTATCTTAGGGACATCGTGGACCTAGTGAGGTGATGTGGGAGCGAGAAGACGATCTTTGTCAGCGCTATCCACATCTCTTCGCTATAGATAATCTAGTTTCTTTCCACGCTTTAATTAAATTTTGAGGACAATTTTTTTTTAAGATGGGTAAGATGTAGTAGCCAGTTTTGATGAAATACCTTATGGGCTGATATTTTGCTATGCAAGGGCGCATCAAGTTTTGGATTTGAATTAATTTTTTTAAAAGGGCCATTAGTTGACAAACTTTAATCTAACAAGCCCATTAACCTATAATCCTAACTCCAGAGTTTCCTCAACAATCTCACCACTTTCTCCTAATATCGTGAGATTTTTCCACGTAAAGGAATCACAAAATCAATCTCCACGTAACCACCCCAATCCTAGAAAATCTCTAACTATACAGTGTCTATTAGCCTTATCTTTTTAAAAAGCCTATCCATCTCCTCTGCCTTTTGTCACAAAAACACCCGAGAAAAAAAAAGAGAACACCGAAACTGAGAGAAGCAGAAAGAAAGTTTGGCAGAGTTATAAGAGGGGACAGATAGAGATTTCAAATTTCAATGTTCAATTATTATTTTGGCAAGCATATCTTATCCTTCAACTCCTTTATTTTCATGATCACCTTATCTAATTATTAATATATTTCCTCTTAGAGTCATGATAACTAGCTTATCAATAGATTTTATTACATTTTTATCATAATCGTAGGAATAATCTTTACTATTAGTTCATTAGTTTGTTTAGACAAAAACAAATCATGCATAACTCCAGAAATTATTTCCTTATAAATAAATGAAAGTTTACGGCCAATATTATTCTCCTTTGTTTCCTGTTTCTCCAAACCGAATGTAGTCATGTAATCAACTTGACTTCTCCTTTCATGTGTTTTCATGTAAGTTGGGATATTCTTAAAGGTGTAGTGCATACATAAACGAATATGTGGTTAATTACTATGTACTTTTAATTATTTTGTTTCAGCATGCATAAGGTTCAAGACTCTAGAATAATCATGCTAATGCATGTAACTCTTGTTTGTTCCACATGAATACAAACAATACAAATGATATCGGTACAGTCCCCATATGAGCTCTGTTGTACAGTTCTCATTTGCTCGAGTTGTGAGCTTTTGAGACTTGGAGGGTTATTGGTTAGTGTAATTTTGGGGGTAAGTGAGATAATTTTTAGGACTTTATTATGGTGTTATTCATTGGGGTAACGGGATTGAGATTTCACTTTAAGGTGTTATTCATTGGGACAATGAGATTGGGACAATTAACCCCACTTTTCTCAAAATTATCTCACTTCTATACAAACTTTTTGTCCCAACCTTTAAAAATTATCTCATTCTTAACTTTGGGACAATCATGAGGAAAGTGGGATAATTTTGAAGCACTAATTTACTAAATATCTAATATATATTAATTGTATTATAATATATAATATATTTTAATAATATTATATTATAAAATTCTATTATAATGTAAGATAATAAAATATTATATAATATTATCTAATATAACATTATTATATATCATTATTACATATTGTTTAATAATATATATTATAATATTAGTATTATATTATTATAGTATTCCTTTATATTATTATAATATTACTTTATATTATTTAGTTATTAATTAGAATAAAAAAGATAATTTTGAAGCTCTAATTTACTAAATATCTAATATATATTAATTGTATTATATTATATTATATGTATCTATTATAAAGTAAGATAATAAAATATTATATAATATTATCTAATATAACATTATTATATATCATTATTACATATTGGTTAATAATATTTCATATATTATAATATTAGTATTATATTATTATAATATTACTTTATATTATTTAGTATATATTTTATTAGTTAGAATAAAAATATTATTGTAGTATTTTTATAATATAAATATTGTATTATAATATAGTGTTTATATATTTAATATAATAATATATAAATTATATTATAATATAATTTATTATATAATAATTTACTATTTTCTATTATACTTTATTATATTAATTAATAGTCTTAATATATTGTCAATATTTTGGTAGTTATAATATTAAATAATATTTTATTACTACAATAAAAGCCTTTGCCATGATGGTTAGCTAACTTGCATGCTATGTCTTTAGTCTTGGGTTCAAGTCGCATGACCTTTTTTTATGCCAAATTTATGTTTGGGTGTGTTTTGAACTGAAACCCGACCCGACAAGGACCCGTTATCAGCAACCAGACCAGTTTAGGTCTATAACTCAATTTACAGACCTTTTTGGACCTTTAACTCACCAAAATCAGATTTGTTGATTTTTAAGCTATCAAACTACACCCGTTTGACCCATTTTGACACTAACCAATTGCGTTTTTATTTATTTTCCCTTTTTGTTAAGATAAGGGAAGATATGTCATTTGATGATGTGTTTGATAATTTGATACCATGTTTGATCACCTACTGACATTCAATAGGGTCGACCGTGCATGAAGACGACTTCCGACAAAATATGATTCGTTAGCGCTATCATAGCATAGCTATACCCTCGACATTGATATCCTCGTATGAGGATTTTCTCTTGATTATTACTATTATTATAATAGCATTGACTACACAATGCACCCATCCCGGTTGGATATATTCTGGTCACGGTTATTTTCATAGTTTTACTAAAGTCATTCACGATAAATCTATGGTTAGTGAATAATATTTCATGCACAGTCACTTAAAACAAATAAATAAATATGGGGTTTAATAAAGGAGAATTGGACGGAGAATATAAAGTGTATATAAACACGCTCATGCGCATGCTTGATATCCTGAGTTATATATAAGAACTAAGGGCTAATACTTGACTTGAAGCCGTGTTCTTGGGATGTGTTATGGGAAAACAAATTTATATACATGAAAATATTCTCTTCTAATTTTGATAACATCTTAAAATAATAATAATAATAATAATAATAATAATAATAATAATAATAATAATATAATGTGCTTGTGTGCCTTGTGATAGACTTTATCTTGATATATACAATTAGCATTTTTTATCCCATTTATTTTAGGTTTCATTTTTTTTCTTTACACCTACCACATACACTTATACGCACATATTTTTTTCATTTTACATGCTTGTTGGGAGTTTTCTAACTCTGGAATTTGCGCACCCCAGACTCGGGAGCTGTTCTTTCTTCACAGGATCAAGAGTACTTTGAAGAGTAGGCTTATCGGCAGTGATCACCTTCTATCCTATTAGTTTCTTAGCTTCAGTTTGTTTAGGTAGATTTTTGTTTAAACTTTTCCTTGAGCCACACATGGTTCTCCAGATTATGATGATTTTTTTCCTCTTTCCCATTGTGCATAGCTGTGGACTTTGTAGTAGAACTGTCTTTTCGGAGATTTCTTTATCTATATATTTTCTTTGCTACCTTAATTACATGCTCCGTGTTGTAGTTCTTTTTGGCAATATATCTGTATACAGGATAATCTAGAACGTGAATGTGACAGAATGGTTGCATTGTCGGCTAGGTCATGTCCCAACTTATATAGTTCGAGATCCGGGGCGTGACATAATACCTAGGCACTAGGTCTAAGACGCTTTTTTTTATTGTTCTAGGATTTAGGTGATGGCAGAGGAGGTTTTCTTTAAGGTCGAAGGAGTTGGAGGAGGTGTTCGAAGTCGGTGGAGGAGGTTGGAGGAGTTCAGATGAGGTTAAAGAACGTAGAGGTAGCAACAAAGGAAATTACGACTAAGATCTAGTGGTGCAATCCGCATAAGCGGTCTTTGCACCCTAAGCATTCTCAAGACCTAGGCAGATGGATCCTAGGTGGCCTAGGTATCGCCTAGGCCTAGGCACGAGCTTTTTAAAACATTGATCACTGGTGCAAATTCCATGTGGAAAAGCTCCAACATAGTTGTCGGAGAAAGGCACGCTTTCACATTGCCAGAAAGCAGTTTCAGAGATAGAAAATAACCTGTGAAGGAGAAATTCACAGAGGGGGGGGGGGGGGGGGGGGGGGAATGCTCATGGGAGACGTTTCGAGCAATAAGAAGTGAAGTGATGATATTCATGGGGTAAAACAAAGTGCACCTTGGCAAATCCGATACGGCGGACGAGATTGAGATGTAAATTGTTAACGGACCATATTCACAAAAGGCATGGTGGAGATCACCATCTTGCGATTACTCGTGCTCTCCAGAGAGTAACACGATCCATCCCTAAATATATATCTGTAACAATTGATAAGGAATTAAAACTATGGTTCAAAAGAAATTACAGCGTGGTGGTCGATGTAATGAGCCGAAAGTGCGTTCGGTACAAAATTTCTTTTCTCTAGCTAAAGAATAGCAGGTCGTGAAAATGTTTATAGAAAGAAATGCAGCATCAATTCAGCCTAAATTAGTAAAAACTTGACGAGAAAGAAAAACCCTTTACAGTGTTTAAAGCAAATTGAAGACTTCCCCCAAAACGAAACCCTAATAGGAATTTGTTGTCGATACTGAAATCATAAACAGCAAAGGAGAAAGGGAGAGGCCGAGATAGATATAATTACTTGCATTGCTTTCTGATGTTGAGGAATGGGGACGAGGGGTCTAAGGAAGGGACGTCGTC